AGGGATGGCTGGGGGAATGGGGTGCTGGGGTTACTGGGACAGGGGCATTTCGGCTTTCTTTGGACCAGGGAAAGCTGATCTATAACAGCTAACACCTTCAGACTGTGGTTCCTGATCCTGAGCCTCCGGGGCCCCACGTCTCCCTTATTCTTAGAGGGAGGAGGGACTTCTGACTCTCCTGAAGTTTCTGGAGTTCCGGCAGGACTCCACCACTACCATCTAACCAGACTCTGGTGGTCCCTCCCCCCTTTTGCATATTCTGTCATTGCAACTTGGAGGATGCTGGGCTCAGCAATGCACCAGCCCACACCCCAAGGCTGGCTCTGCCTCCTTCACTCTGCCCAGGAGACAGGCCAGCACGGAAGGGGTTTCATCATGATGATTGGCGACATTGTGATGATGGTGTGAAGGGCCACAGAAGAAACCAGGACAGCCTCTCATCCATGCTTTTGTGTTAGGGCACACGGGCCACCAGCTGCATGACACTCTCTCTGGTCGGCGAGTCTGCTGAGGTGGGGCCACAGACAAGCATCTTCCTAGAGCCACGGGACACATCAACCTGGACGTTCCTGTCCCTGTGGCATGCTAGGAGTCTGATGGGTGCTGAGTGTCCTTGCCTCCAGCTGCTCCCCTGCAGAACCACAGCATGCTCACAGGGTCCTACAACTGAGATGCCCTGAGTAGAGGTGGAGGGGAGGGTGGAGCCAGTTCTCCTTGTGTCCAGGGGGACGCTCTTTCCCACATCTCCCCTGCTTGGAAACTCTGTTCTTGGCAAAGTGGAAGGAATAAATTCTCCTCCCACCACGAGCCAAGAGGGCTAGCGCTGGTGTGTTGCTGATGGAGTTTGAGGGCCCCTTGACTGTGGTCCGAACAACCTTTTGCCCATCCTCGCCCAGCCCGGCCTCTTTGGCCTCTCAGGACCCCGGGGAAGAGGCAAGCCCCATCATCATAAAATAACAGGATGTTCAAGTCAGCTGGAAGGGACTAGAGAGGGGTCTTGCCCACCTATCATTTTAGCGATGAAGATACACAGTTTACCTGTGAGAATCTTTAATCCCCTACTCACCACAAGTGTTTTCATATAAAAACGAGGTGCCCGGACTCATATCTTGATAAATGGTAAAATTCCTCTCCCATCCCCATTCTGATCTTGAGCTCCCTTCCCATCTCCATTGAAAATGGCATGTGAACTGCTTGTTCCAAACCTGGAGGAGCAAAGGTAATTTATGGCAGCAGAGCTGTGTCAAAATTCCTCTGAATAAAAGGTGACAGCACTCCCCACCTGGGCGGGCAGTTACAATGAATGGAAGCAATGCTCTATCTGGTGTCCTGGGTTGGGTAGCCTGGGCTCCAGGCAAGTCCCAGATGGGTGAACTGAACCCCTTCTCTTAGGCTGCCTGATGCCTCTGTGCACGCTTTTTGGGACTTGGGCAGACCTTGAACTCGGGAGTCATTATTAATGCCAGTCTTCAGCAACAGTCAGACCCAGCCCAGTCAGACTGTATCATGTCACATGGAGGGAAGTGAGCGGGACTGCGGCAGTAGAGGAGAGATGCTGTTCTCAAAAATCTTTACCGTTCCCTCTAGGTTGATCTCTGTTTACCGCCAGGGGGCACAGTGCAGAAATGGCACCCTAGACTCCCAGGGCCTGGGGAGTAAGTGCTTCCGAATTGGTCCTAACAGCCATACTGCCCTCTCATAATTGGCTGGATGGACAGTGAAGTCCCTCCCCTGTCCGTGCTACTCTGGCTTCATTCGGGGACACCCCTACAAACACTTGCACCCTTTAACCAACAGTGTCCTGGGAATGGCATGTTGTCCAATTGTCTGGGGACTGACCAGAGCGCAAAGCTGCCCCAGCGGGGAGCTGAATCTCTTGTCAGCCTGGGCCCTTGTCTGATACCAGGAGTGGGAGGGTTACCCCCTGCCCTGGGAGGGGATGGGGCCGCATCCAGCTGCCCAGCTGTCCTGGTGCTGACATGAAGTGCACCCCAGAGCTGCTCGGGTTTCCCCCCGGGTCTGCCCCAGCGGCTGAGCCAGCATCCCAAACATCCTCAGGCTAAATAAGGAGCCTGCTTAGGTCAGGGGGTGGGGCTGGGGTCCCCGGGGGGGCTTGGGGCAATCAGGCCAAACAAGGCAAGGAGCAGAGCAATGTATAAAACCAGGGCCCTGGGCTGAGCACCTGCCCCTGCCCCTACTGTGCCTTCCGGAAGGGCTCTGTCCCACCTGCTACCCAGCTAGTGGACTCAAGCCGCGAGGTCGACCCGCCCACGGTGAGTCCCTATTCTCAGACCAGCCCCAGACACTCCCATCCCCAGGATGTTCTGAACTGACTGGGGAGAAAGGCTGAAAGTCAAAGTCTCTATGTCAGCCTAGACCTCATGTTTGTTTTGCACTCCCCAGATGTCCAAGGCAACTTCCGCCAAAAAAACAGCGGCTGCGGCCCCACCTCCGGGATGTACCCTGGATATCAACGACCCCCAGGTCCAGAGCGCGGCAATTCGCATCCAGGCCTCTTACCGGGGCCATAGGTGAGGGGGAGCCCGGAGTCCTCAGGAGGAGGGGAGCCGGAGCTGCAGAAATCGCCCTGCAGCGTGGGCGTGGGTGGGAGCAGAGCAGTGTTATGGACCGCTGGGGTCACTGGACTTAGGGGAGAGAGATTGACGAGGTGTGGAAAGGTGGCCGACAAGATCAAATCATTTCATCAGGGTAACAGTTCAAGAACAGCCCCCCCCCCGCCACCCACCCGCACATTTAAAGTTCTAGCGGGCCGAGGGGGCGGGGGCAGGGGATTCGGTGCTGGCGGTCCAGATTCGCGTCGTGGGAGCTCTGGGCCCTGACCCGGCTTTCGGATAGGTCCCGGAAGGAGCTTCGCGAGAAGGGGCCGCCACGAGTGCTGGAGCCGCTGAAGGACGTGGTGCTGATCGAGGGCAGCGCGGCCAAGCTGACTTGCCGCATTTCGGCTTTCCCGGACCCCTTCATCCGCTGGAGCAAAGACGGCAAGGAGCTGCGCGACGGGCCCAAGTATCGCTACGTCTTTGAGGACCCTGACGTGGTCGCCCTGGTGGTACGCGACGGCGAGCTGGCAGACCTGGGCCAGTACAGCATCAACGTAACAAACCCCTTCGGCCAGTGCTCTGACTCGGCGCGCATCCTCGTGGAAGGTACGCGCGTTCCCCGTGCGGCGCCACCGCGAAGAGCAGCACCGCCTCCCGGCGCCGCAGCCGGGGCCCTCCAGCGAGCGCCCACCCCTGGGCCTGGCCGAGACCCGATGGGGTTGAGGACGCAGCCTGGGGCGCAGCGGAGCGCGGGCTGGCTAGCCCTTCCTGCCTCAAGATCCCGCCCTCACGCGCCCCCGCCCCAGACCGAGAAGTCCGCTTTGGGCTCTAAACACTCCACTCCAGTGCCCCAAGGTCACAGCGAGCCAGAGGCTGAGCCAGGGTTAGGGCCCAGGTCTTCTGGCTCCGCCCCAGGGCAGTGTTCACTGCTCGGAACTGTGTCCATCCATGGCACTGAGATGTGTAAACGCTCCCGGTCTTTCACTCAGCGTATTTCTTTTGATCCCCCATCCCACCGTGGGAAGGAGCAGGGCCAGCTGTTAGTCCGGTTTAACAGCGGAGGAAATGAAGCCCCAAAGAGGGTAGACTTGCTCAACGTCCCACTACGGGCTTAAATATATCTCATATTTAGGGCCGGGTATTATCTGGGGACGTGATGCCCCTGCTCCGCCTCACCCCTAAGGACCTTCCCCGGGTCGCATGCTTTTCCCTTCTTCTAGTCCCTGCGAAGATTCAAAAGGGACCGGATAACACTAAGGCACGCAAAGGCACCACCGTGACTCTGACCGCGGAGATCATGGGAGAGCCTGCGCCTGACGTCGGCTGGACCAAGGACGGGGAGGACATCGAGGAGGATGACAGGCGAGGGCGGGGACCTGCCGTTGGGGCGGAAGAGGGCCCAGAACCCCGGCGGGAGTGGGCCGGGGGCGGGGAACGCGAAGCGAGGACCACAGCTGGCTAACCAGCCTGGCCCCGGGCGCCTGTAACCTGACCGCGGCCCGCCCTCCCCGCTCCCTCTCTCCCTGCCAGGGTGTTCTTCGAGATCGGCAGTACCACCACGACGCTGACCATTCGCCGGGCCACGCCCCAGGACAGCGGCAAGTACGAGGTGTACGTGGAGAACAGCCTGGGCATGGACCAGAGCTTTGCTCGCGTGGACGTGGCCTGAAAGGAACGCTCGGATCTTAACGCCCTGGCTCAAAGCCCTGGGGTGCGTGGGACCGACGAACCCCCCCCCCACCATCTTGCTTAATAAAACTGCTCTCTCTGACCCTTCGCGTGTTCTGGTTTTTGGGGACGCCGTTTCTTCTCCCCTGCACTCGCACCCACGCTTACTCCAGACCCACACACTAAGGTCACAGTATGTGGGGGTGGGAATGTTTGGAGAGTGCCTGGTTTAGTGCTTTACGGTACAGACTGTAAATCTGAGATAGGCTTTCTCTCACCCTATGGAGCTCCTTCATTTCCCCGCGGGACCACGCCAGGAGCTCGTGACTCCGCCTCCTCTTTTTCCGTCTACTTCAGGCCCCACCCACTCGCCGCTGTCGGCGCCCTCGCCACGCCCATTTCACGGCTGGCCGCACCTCCTCTCGTCTCTAGGCCCGCGTCTTCCTGGGACCCTGTTCCTACCTTGGCGGCTACTCTGGGGCCCATTCCCAGACAGTTCAAAGTCCTAATCTCAGCTTCGCTCCTCTGCCTCTTAGGCCCCACCCTTCTTCTCCTTAGCCCCGCCTCCTAGATCCCTTGGCCTTGCCCCTTGTTCTCCCATAAGTCCCACCTCCCTCCTCTCCTGTAGTTAGAAATAAGCGGGCGTTGGGGGGTGGGGTGGGAGGGGCGGATAGAGGAGAGGGCTATGGGAAACGACGGGATCTTAAGAACTACTATTCCCGGCATACTCCGCGAAAGAGTTCTCGCGAGTCGCGAGAAGACACGTGCGCGGAAGGAGCAAGCAGTAGCGGGCGACAGAGCTGGAATAAAGGGAGCTAGTGGTAAAGGTTGCTGATGGAGGGGTGGCGAAAGGGGTAGAGGGCAGGGGGCGGCCCCTACACTGAAGGCTGCTCGGAGGTCCCGGCTGGCCCTTCGGAGGTCTGCTCTTGTGTTGGTCCCACAATTCCCTGGCTACGCGTGACTAGGGTTTATTAGACAGAGTTGTGGTGTTCAGAGGGTCAGCAATCATTGCTTCGGTTCGAGTTTCAGACTTGCCTCCAGTATTGGGACCCAGGGGGAGGTAGATTCCGTGTTTGAGATGCCAAGGGAATCTGTCTTTTGATTCAGGGTTCATCACTTAAAGGTTAGTTTTAGGATTCAAATTCAGCATATAGGGGGTTTTTGCTTGGACTTGGGATTCACCAGATACGTTATATTTAGGATTCCTTCTTAGGATTGCAGTTAAGTATGTGGGGCTCACTCAGGATTTGAGATTCAGTATTCAGGGTTCACTGTTGGGAGCTGGGGCTTAACATCTGTAGCATAAGAATGGAACAGTTGGGAATCAGCGGGTTTGGGGTCTAAGGTCTACTGCTGAGTTTCTGAGTTTGCTGAATGTGTTTATGGCCAGAAGGAAGTCTGATGGATCAAATTATGGGGTGTGGATTTCAGGACTTATCAGAAATCACTGTGGGATTTTAAGGCTGGTTGGAATCTGGGTTGGGGTTTCAGATGTATGGGATTTGTGAGATGTGTCCAAGGAGGGACTCTATTGAATTTCGGATTTACATCCTGTGAGAGGGCTAAGTGTTGCTATTCGGGGTTTGGGGTTTGCTTGGGATATGAGTGGGGTTCTTGGGCTGGGGTGTGAGATCTAAGCCGGATTTCTCTGTTGGGATTTGAAGTTTAGGTAGCAGTTGCCATCATGCTCAAAGCTGTGATCCTGATTGGAGGCCCTCAAAAGGGTGAGGAACCCAGGGAAAGGGTTAGGGAGGTTGGGCTGGACTGACTGGGGAATGGAGGCAGAGGGAAGCAGGAAGCTAAAATGTGCTTCTTTCTCCTCTCTCAGGGACCCGCTTTAGGCCTTTGTCTTTTGAGGTGCCCAAACCCCTGTTTCCAGTAGCGGGGGTCCCTATGATCCAGCATCACATTGAGGCCTGTGCCCAGGTAACCCCAGAGGTTCCCCCTCCTACCTAGCTTCCTGTTCATCTCCTTCATGCTCTATTCCCCCTCCTGCCTCGTTGTGTTCGGACCAGGCATTAGTCCAGGGACTACCATTTATAAATGACAGTGTGAATGGTGTCCCTCGGAGCTGTGCAGTGCAGCTGCCCTGCTCTCTTCGCTAATCTGGTTTCTCATCTGGCCTCTTCTTGTTCAGACTTCACTCCTATTTTTAAAGCATGGAATGCAAGATCAGGCAGGAATCTTCGAGACCATTTAAAGCTATAGCCCGAGGAACCTGAATGATAGCAAAGCATGGAACTCAAACCCTTGCTCACTGTGGAGCTAATTTCTTTATTGCTTTTGGCATCAGGACAGGCAAGGTTTTATCTGAATCCAGTCTCTGCCTGCTCTAAGGACTTGAGTAAATTCCTCACCCTTTCTGAGCCTTAGTTTTCTTACTGGTCGAATGGGGTGATTAAGCCTACTTTGGGGGGATGGCAAGATTTAAGAGATGATGTTGGTGAAGTGCCTAGTGCAATGTAGGCACTTGATAAATGGTACCCTTATCTCACACTGATCTCAAGCTCAGACTGACAGATAATAAATATGGGAGAAAATGAATGGATGATCTTCCCATGCAGCTTGGTAGGCAGGATCTTTCAAAGCTAGGGTGATCCTCAGATGCAGGGATGGGTTGGGCGAACAAGAGAATCATATAAGATTGAAAGATCAGTGACAGACTTCCTCTAGGTTCCTTTTTGTCTGGAGGAGAACACAGACCAGAGTGGTAAAGTGAGTGCGTAGGGGCCCCACAGCTGAGACCAAAGCTCTGGCCTCTGGACTCCTGGGCCAGGGGTTCCCCCAGTATTCTGTCCTATCAGATATGTTCTTTTTTCCTCCAACCTCTTACCTTGTTCTCAGGTCCCTGGGATGCAGGAGATTCTGCTCATTGGCTTCTACCAGCCTGACGAGGCCCTTACCCGATTTCTAGAGGCTGCCCAGCAGGAGTTTAACCTCCCCATCAGGTGTCTGTGCCGTATGGGGGGTATGGGGCGTGGGAGCAGTGCCCAAGGCCTCGGAGTTCTTGTGAGTGGGTTAATTCAGCATGTGGCAGACTTTGCCCTTATGTATTAGGAGGGTCTTATTTGGGAATCTCTGAATCCTTGAGGATATTGGCCTCAGACAGGTGTATTTCTAGGAGCAGGAGGAGTCAGGTGCCCAGGCTCATGCTATCTGCCTCCTCTCATCTCACTGAGCCGGCTTTGGGGTCCCTGGGGACAGGTACCTGCAGGAATTTGTGCCCCTGGGCACAGGAGGTGGTCTCTACCATTTCCGGGACCAGATCCTGGCCGGGGGCCCCGAGGCCTTCTTTGTGCTCAACGCTGATGTCTGCTCCGACTTCCCCTTGACTGCTATGTTGGATTCCTATAGACACCAGCCTCACCCTTTCTTGCTCCTTGGCACCACGGTGAGGGGGCCGGGAGGGCTGGAGGGGATAAAGGGGGGTGATCCAGAGAAGTTCCTGGAATGCAGAGTGTCGAAGAGGCAGAGGCAGCTCAGAGAGCTAGAGGGGGAACGGGCATCAACCGGGGAATGTGCCAGAAATCCCAGCAAGTAGCAGAGGAAGTGGTGGCGGTAGAGACCCTGAGCCCTTTGGCTGCTCAGAAGGAAGGAGGGGGAGGGCCGCTGTCAGTTCTCCCCCTGCTGAAGGCCTGTCAGTGGCGGAAGTACGTGCCAGGTGCTACAGGGGAAGGAAAGAAAAAAAGAAAAAACAGACCTCACCGCCCTGGAGCAGGCGGGTCATTGTTTTGGTGTGTCTGTCTTACAGGCTAACAGGACACAGTCCCTCAACTACGGCTGTATTGTAGAGAATCCACAGACACATGAGGTGAGAGCAGAGACAGGGCTGGCTGGGTTCTTACTCTGTATCATCGTGCCCCCTCCCCTCTGCCTCTAGAGAATGCTAGAATGCTATTGGGTGGGCTCCAGTGCTGTCAACCAGGTAGGCCATACCCTTGGCGGTTCATCTTCCATTCTAGGGAGACTGACAAAGAGCAGAGGCTTAAGAGTTAATATCCATGCGTGCAGCACCCCGATGGCTGTATGCACGGTGTTCTGTGGGAACATGAAAGGAGGCCCACCCCAGCCTTGCCTGGGTGGGGGCAGGGAGAGCTCCCTGGAGGAGGCAGGGTCTGAGTTGGGTTAAATTCATGGAGATGAAGGAGACAGGAATGCGTTGCTGGTGGAGGGAATAGGCTATGCAAGGGCACAGAGGCAGGAAACAGTTTGGGGCCTCTGGCATTCCAGAGGTGGGAGTGGGATGGCCAGGTGGAGGGTCTCAGTCCTTGTTTGTGAAACTCCCTGCCCTGAGCTCCACTTTCACACAGCCCTCTTATTTGTTCAAGCATTAGTATCAAAAATACACTTAAAACAGGCACACAGGGGCGCTGGTGGGCTCAGTCGGTTAAGCGGCTGCCTGCAGCTCAGGTCATGATCCCAGGGTTCTGAGATCGAATCCCACACCAGGCTCCTTGCTCAGCAGGGAGTCTGCTTCTCCCTCTGCCTGCCGCTCCCTCTGCTTGTGCCATCTCTCTCTCTCTCTGACAAATAAATAAATAAAATTTTAAAAGAAAAAACAGGCACACACACATAGATATGTGCAATTTTTTTTTTTTAAGTTTTCTACTGGGCACCAGCTAGATATGAAAGAAACAGAGCCAAAGAAATAGAATCCCTGCCATTCAGGAACAACCCCCCAACACACACACACAGTGGGAAGGACAGTCAGAAATCAACCATGGCAAATGACACAAGGGCCACAGTGACGTGTGGCCAGAAGCCAGGGGTGCCCAGACCTGAGAAGGTCTGCGTAGTGCGGGACAAATACAGGTTCACGGAGGAAGTGGCAAGATCGACCGGGTTTTGAAAGCTCAGTTTTCCAGAGGAATCGCTGAGAAAGGGCATTCCAGGCACAGGCATGCAAGGGTTGTGAATTGTGTGCTGGGGGTGCTGGGAGGTGGGGACAATGAGGAGGGAAAAGGCATGCCTTTGGGATTTGTCGTGAAGGTGAAGGGCAGGAACTCTGCATTTTAGGAAGACCGTCCTAGCAGCAGGGAGTAGCTGGTGGTCAGTAGGTCTTAGGGGATGTTGGCAGGAGTGGAGGGTGGATGGGTGGGGAGGGGGCTCCTCTGCTGGACCCAGCCTTCTCTGTCCTCAGGTCCTGCACTATGTGGAGAAACCCAGCACCTTTGTTAGTGACATCATCAACTGTGGCATCTACCTCTTCTCCCCGGAAGCCCTGAAGCCCCTTCGGGATGTCTTCCAGCGTAACCAGCAGGATGGGCAACTGTGAGGCGGGCCCCATGGCCCTGTAACCCCAAGTCCCCCCAGTCACAGAGCACACCCCCACCCCCAGGCTCTGCAGGCTCTTCACCTGCTCACCTTCCTCCTCCCTTTTCCTTCCACTTGTCATCCCCAGCCAAGCCTTCCCAGTCCCCTCCCCTTCTAACCTCATTCTGTCCCTCTTCCTTATCCATCCCAATTCCTCCTCTGTCACTGCCTGCCCACTCCCCTTCTGGTCCATTTCTCTCAAGCCCTGAGTGTCCCGGAGATGTCTTTTGGAACAGACGGCAACACGCACACTTGGGCGCACACACGCTTGGGTGCAGAGACATGCAGAGAGAGAGAGACACACACACACACACACTCACACACTGTCAGGCTGAGGCTCCCCTCGGAGCATACCACATAGAGCCCTGCTGGCCACAATCCCCTCCCCAGGTTATCCCTGTAAGGCCCTGGATCTGATAGGGGCCCCCGCCCCGTCCCTGTCCCCGCGGGTCCTGGCCTTCACTCCCTCCTCCCGACCTGGCTCCCTGTCTCATGCTCCACTCACTTCCATCCATCTCTGCTTCTCTCTCCATCTCTTTTGGCCTCTGTCTGTTTCTGCTAAGTTGGCATCTCTACCATCTCTCTCTCTCCCTCTCTTTCTGTGACTGTCTCTGCCCTCACCAGCTGTCTTCCTCTGGGGTGAGTGTCTGTGTTTCATTCCATCCCGTGAGAGGGAGGGTGACCTGAGGTGGGGTTTGGAGGAGTGGATGGGGAGGAGAGGGAAATGGGGGGAAGCTGCACCCGGGTGAACTCCCTGGGCCTAGGGCAGAGATGGGGGATCAGTCCATGCCTGGGGGTCCCCTGGGATCGCACCCCAGGTGGGGGTGGGAGGGTGATGTGGGTAAGGGTACTGGCAGCACTTCCTGGGACATGAGCGTCCCTTTGGAGAAGATCTAGCCAGGCCTGGAGAGTGGGATTCCCTGGGATCTCTATCCCTGAGACACTGCGTTGGCCTCCTGGGCGGGCTCAGCTGGGGAGCTGATGTCTGCGTCTCCTCTCTGCCAGGGAGGACTCCTCAGGCCTGTGGCCAGGGGCAGGCACCATCCGCCTAGAGCAGGACGTGTTCTCCGCCCTGGCTGGGCAGGGCCAGATCTATGTGCACCTCACTGATGGTATCTGGAGTCAGATCAAGTCCGCAGGGTATGCCTCATGAGGTGGCTGGGGCACCTGGGAGCTGAGATTTGTGGGGGGTAGGCACCTGCTGGCCCCTGAATCCCCCGTCCCCCTTTGTGGCTCCCCCAGCTCAGCCCTCTATGCCTCCCGCCTCTACCTGGGTCAGTACCAGCTCACTCACCCAGAACGCCTGGCCAAGCACACTCCTGGGGGTCCACGAATCCGAGGTATGTCCCCCTGCCCCCTTCCTCATCTTTGCCTCCAACCCCAGCCCCCTGTGCCCTCTGAGCCAGGACTCCTGACCTCAGATTCAGAGGTGAAGCCCCAGTCCCTGCCCCGCCCCCCACAACCAGGTATGGTGTGGGGTAGCTGCCCCCAGGTCTTCTCTTCTGCTTCTAGGAAACGTTTACATCCACCCCACAGCTAAGGTGGCCCCATCAGCCGTGGTAAGTGGGGGGCCAGGCTGGCAGGATGGGTGGGATGACGCAGAGAACTTCTGAGCTCAGAAGGTGGGGTTCTGCTTTGTGGCCACCCATTGTGCAAGCTCAAGCAGGTCCCTTCCCCCTTACCTGTTCTAGAAGGGGCTGGATTCTGGTTTCTCCAAGGCCCCCAGGGCTTATGGTATCTGTTCCTCTCCACAGCTGGGCCCCAATGTCTCCATCGGGGAGGGGGTAACCGTGGGCGAGGGTGTGCGGCTCCGCGAGAGCATTGTTCTCCATGGGGCCACACTGCAGGTAGGCACCCTGTGGCTGGCTGGGAGGGGGTGGCCCCCGTGGGCTCGGCATCTGGGCCCTTCTCCTCCCTCACCGCACACTGTCGTGTTTGGCAGGAGCACACGTGTGTCCTGCACACCATTGTGGGCTGGGGGAGCACTGTGGGGCGCTGGGCCCGTGTGGAGGGTACTCCCAATGACCCCAATCCCAACGACCCCCGAGCGCACATGGACAGTGAGAGCCTCTTCAAGGACGGGAAGCTGCTGCCTGCCATCACCATCCTAGGTATGGCTTCCTCGGGGACTAGGACTGGGGAAAACCTCCACGGGTGATGGCCTTGCCCTGTGGGGATGGGACACAGACACGTGTGTGTGTGCGCGCGCGTGCGTGCGTGCATGCGTACGTCTGCTTGTGTTTATTCCTTTAGCAAACATTTATAATGTGCTTGCTGTGTGCCAGGCCCTGTTGTTGTGAGTCGCTGGGAGTGTGAGGCCAGGGCGCAGATGGGCAGGAAGGGATGCCTTCCGGATGGCCGTGGCCCCAGCTCCTTGCCTCTGGCCTCCCCTCCCCACGGCTGCTTCCGGGGGCTTCCTCCTCTGGGTGCCCTCGTTCTGGTTGCAGGCTGCCGCGTCCGGATCCCTGCTGAGGTGCTCATCCTGAACTCGATTGTTCTGCCACACAAGGAGCTGAGCCGCAGCTTCACCAACCAGATCATCCTCTGAGGGGGACTCCCAGAAGGCACACCCCCCCCCCAACTCCCAACTCCTACCTGCTCCCCTTGAGGCTCCTTCCTGCAGGGCCGGCCTCTGTCCAAAAGGACCAGAGGAAGGCAGGCAGGATCTTCACGTGCCAGGCGCAACGTGGGTGGCTGGGGGACTCCTGGCCTCCCTCTTCAGTCCCTAATAAACCCGGGTGGACCTTGGAGCCAGCACGGACTCCCGCTTGTGCCTGGGCTGGGGGTGAGGGCGGAGAGTGGGGGTAGCTGAGTCAGGCCCCCCCACATTAGCATTTAAATTGGAGTCGTTGCTGCGGGCTCATGAATAATGAATCTGGAGCCCTGGTAGATCTCCCCCTCCCACTGCCTTTAGCCTCTTGTGCCCGCTCTGCTTGGGAGGAAAGCCCCCAAGGCTCCCAGCCTGTCTGGCCCCTGCCTTCACCCCTGCTCCAGCACTGAGGGCTCGCCCGCCTTCCTGTTCCTCTTCATTGGGCCTGGCTCGAGCTCCGAGTGTAAGGATTCCAAAAGGAAGGGTGCAGGATTCTGGCTGGGCTGTGGGGCGCTGGCGATGGGCTCGGGGACTGAGAGCCACGGGCCTGATCCTGGGTCACCAGTGGCTGCTCTTCCCAGTTCCTGCCCAGCCCGGCCCCAGCCTGTTTTCCGCTTTGCCAGCTCCATCTGCTCCTAGCCTGGCTTTTGGCAGAGTCGGGGTTCTCCCCACCCGAGGCCTGCGTGGGGGCTGTCTCTTACTCCCCTGGCAGGTCGGGCAGACCTAAACTGGTGCCTCGTCCTCCCCAAGTCCGGGAGTGGGGGTGGGGGGTACTCGTGCTGGGAGGGCAGGGGCCCTGGCCACCTCCCACCACCCTGACTCCGCCCTTTGGGAGGTCTCAGTCCTCTCCACATTCCCCACGCCCCAGAGCAACCCAGCCATCTCTCATGTTTGCCCATGACCCCCATGTGCCGCCTCTTGGTACCCCCCTTTCCCCAGCTGTGGGTGCAGAGCTTAGTTGCCAGATGAGCTGGTAATGATCGTAATCTGCTAATTGAGAGGAATCTAATTACCCAAAGAGAATGGGGGGGCAGGGCGTGGGTGGGAGGGAGGAGGGGGTCCTGGCAGCAGGCAGGGGTGGCAGGCGGCGGGGCACCGAGACCTCGTTATCAGCACCGTAGTCTGGGACAGAGCCCAGGATTTCATAGCTTCTTAGCTGGGCCATGGGGAAGACCTGCTCCCCCAGTAGCCGGGCTGAGGATAGTGTGGGGATTGGGTTGGATGTGCGCTCCCGGGCCCCCTCCGGCCCAGCAGGCTGCATGAGAGCAGGCGTGAAAGGAGCCAGGCTTCAGCAGCCCAGACCTACAACCTGCCTGTGCTTAGACTCTTCCCCATCTCCCGGCCCTTCCTCCAGCCCAGATCTTCCATTTGCATGGGGTGGGGAGGAGGCCGCGGATGCCTCCTATGGGCCTGGGGTCAGCTCCCTGAGGGAGAAGCCGGGAGACGGCTGGGCTATGGGTCTGGGGCCGGGGTCTCTTCCCTGCCCCCCACCCCAGTCCTGACCCTTCTGTTCCAAGTGGTTGGCAGAGGCCATGGCAGCTCCATCATAAATATGATAATTTAATTATTTTCTCAGCAAAACACCGTGAAATCCAATAAGTCTGTGTCAGGCCCTGGCCCCCGGGACCCCCCTCCTAGACCCAGTGGGGGTGGAGAGGCACTGGAAGGGGAAAGGGTCAGCGTTTGGGATGGGGGGATAGCTACTGTAGCTGGGATCTTTGAAACCTGCCCCTCCCACCAGGCTGGCAGAGTCCCTATCGAGGGCTCCTGGGGAGGTCGGGGAAGTCTTAGGAATTGTAACGCCCTCCACTCCTCTCTGGCTCTTGTCTGCCCTGGGAAAGACAGCGCCCCATCCATCTCTGAGGGCACAGCTCAGGGCCCACGATGTGGGAGCCCCCTTCTCCTCCACATCTAGGTCTTCATTGGCCCTGTATGGGTAGAAGGGTGCTGGTCCCCAAAGGGTTTGAGGAGAGAGAACCAAGGGAACTGGGGTGGGAGGTGGGGGGATGAGCGGGGGAAGGGATGCGGGGGAGGGGTGTGCTCCTGCCATTAGTGCTTTTTTAGGTTTCCATAAAAAGATTATTCTGTAAAATCAGTGAGGGGGAGCAGGCTTGTTGGGGGGGGGGGGGAAGGGCCCTGGGGCGGGGGGGGGGGGGGCGGGGGGGGGGGGGGGGGGGGGCAGGGCTCTCCTCTCCCTCCTGTTCCCTTTGGCGAGGCTGACCTGGGCCCCAGTCCCACCCCAGTCTCCATCCCCTCCCCCTGGCGCTTAGCAGCCATTATCGGGGGAGCAGATTGCCACCCCCTCCCCCTCTCCGGGAAGCAGGCACAGCTGGGGCCCCGCCACATCTGCCGCATCAGCACGGAGCACAGCTGGGTGTGCCCAGAGCCGCGCTCCCCAAAACACAAAGGGGAGGGCGGGGGCCAAGGAGAGCCTAGACCCCGGAGACAGACACACTGACACCTCTGCCAACAGACACACTCCTCAGGGTGAAGCTACACCCACCACCACCACACACGCGCTCCCTCCTGTGCAGACAGGAGAACTGACAAACACGCAATTACTCTGCCCCGCCCGCCACCCCCGCTCCCCTCCTCCCGCCCCTTCTTCCTCCTCCCCTTCCTTCCCTCCAGGCTCCCCTCCGCTGCCTGGGCCACCTGGGTTCTTCTGGAGGGAGCAGGGGCCTCCCCTTTCCCGAGCACCCCTTTCTGAGAGGCCTGGAGAACAGGAGGGCAGGAGGTAGTGAGGGGCTGCAGGTCTGAGCCGGGATCCTGGGCAAAGCCGCTGTCCTCCCTCCATGCCCATACTCCTCGCCACAAAGAAATCCCCTGTAGAACCCTGGTTCGTGCCTCTTTGGGTGTGATGGGGTCTCTATCCCAGGGCCAGCTGGCTGAGCACCCTTGACTGATGCTCCCTGTGACGGTGTTCCATCAGCCACCTCAAGGAGGCGCTGTGTGCCCTCTGTTCTTTAGCCTGGAGCTCAGAGGCTCCCGGGGCTATTCCCTGCCACCCCCCAATCTGGCATGCACTCCACTGCTTAGCTCTGCTACCCTTGGCGTGTGCAGGGCATGGGGGCTCGCCAGTAGTGGTCAAGCCCCTATCCCCAGAGAGATGAGCAGGGACCTCTTCTTTCCTGTCTTTGCCAGGAGATAGCCACCTTCTGGCCCTCTGATTTAATCTGGCCCCTTTCACAGCCCTCGCTTCTCCCGCTCTGGTCTCCGCTCTTCTTGGTCCTGATGTCCTGCCCTCAGCCCTCTCCTTCCTGCCCCGCACCCCCGTCCCCCGTCCAGCGCCGTGCCCCCGCCCCTGCCCCTCAGAGCTTTAATCCCTCCTGCTGCTGTGCCGCCTTATCTGCTCCCAGCAGCTTTCACTGCTGCAAAGCCCTCTCCCCCTCCTTCTCTGGATCTTTTCCCCCTCCTTTCCTGGCTCCCTCTTCTCTCTGACCAGCACCCCCACTCCCAGCCTCTCTCTGCCTCTCAGGCTCCCAGGATGGCTTCTAGCTGACACCAAATTTGCACTCCAGTACCCTTTGCCCTGTCTCCAGGCTCCATTCTGAGGTTGCCCACCCCACGCCCACTCAGGTCCCTTCCTCCTCCCAACCTGCCCCCCCAACCCTGCAGGCCCCACAGACTTGGGAAGCTTCTGCTTCGCCAAGATTTTTTCTTCTTTCTTTCTTCCCTGCTCTCCCTTTTCTGGTCCCCTCCTCAGTTCCTCCAGCCACTGGCCCCCCGATCTTGGGCCCGGTGCCCTTCAGCCCCCAGTGATCCATGGCCTCAGCTTGGGCATCCCCAGAAGAGGATGGGATCAGGCCAGGCTGGCCCTACGTAGGACGGGGTAGGGGGTGCAGAATGCTGGCCTGCGGTGGGGGCAGGGTCTGGCGGTGGGACGCTAACCCTCTTCAGTCGCCTCCGATCACGTCCTGGCCTCCCCACCCCCCTTCGCTGGAACTCTCATTAACCGCTTCTCCTGCCTCGTCCGCAGCATAAATAACCCAGATAAATCAGCCGCCGTCCGCCCCCCGCCCCTCGGCCCCCGCACAGCCCGTTTGTCACCGCTGCTCGCTCACCAGCCAGGCCTGGCCCAGTCCCGGCCTCCGCTCCCCCATCCTTGTCCCTTCCCGCCCACGTCTGTCCCACACTAGCTCATCCCTTGGTCCGCACCAGAGCCAGGGTTGGGACAGGTGTCTGGGCTGGGAAGGGTGGCCAGGAGGTGCCGTCCATCCTCTGGGAGCGGAGGAGGCTGGGGACTCTCTCTAGGAGAATGCTAAGAGTTTGGGAATTGTGTCATTTATGAGTGGGCCACCCAGGAAAGGGGGCTGGGGCCCACCCAAGGTGCGAAGGGACAAATACAGACAGTGGGCGGGGGGGGGGGGGAGCTGCAGAGGTGGGGGGAGGGGAAGTCCCGAAAGCCCGGTGCGGTAAGGACCTTGGAGGCTCCCTTTGGAACCCCCAAGCTGGATCACGGAAGGTCTTTAGTTCTGCCTTTGAGGCCTCTTGCCCAAATAAAACCTGTACCTTCTCAGGTGCTCTGGCAGAACCTTCCTGCCCTGTCACTTCCCTCACTCTTCTGCCCCCGATTCCCATGCTCTCTGTCTTGTCCAGCTGTACAGATGCCACTCTAATCTCTCTGCCTAACGGTCCCTCCACGGCCATCAGGAAGCCTCGTTCACCCTCTAGGGGGTGGGAGTGGGTGGAGAATTGGACCAGGAATGGGGACAATTGAAGAGCAGAGGAAGCCTGCCCCTGCAGCCCCCTCACCCCTGTGTCTCTCCTGTGCCCCACACCCACTCCCAGCCGAGTCCCAGATGGACCCTCCCCCTCTGCTCTCACCCAGCACAGGTCCTGGCCAACCACACTTGGGCACCCCCATGCTCACTGCAGGGGTGCAGCTGGTCCCAGGGGGGTAGGTGGGGGAAGCCAGGAGGGGATGGGGGAGTTTGGGCACAGGGCGGGGGATGGGGGTGGGGAAGAAGCTGGGCCGGGCCCCAGGGACCAGCTGGGCAATGAGCCGGGGAAGCAGCCGGGAGGCTAAATGAGGGAGATTATCACCCAACTGCAGCGGGCAGAGGGAGGCAAGCAGGGGAGTGGGGAGGGGGGAAGGACGGGGGGGGGGGGCCAGGGGGGAAGGGGGTAGGGGGAAAGCGGGGGCAGAGGAGACAGAAGAGACCAAAAGGGGAGGCACAGGATGAGCGGAGGGGATGTGGGAGGGGGCTCCCACCAAGCATAAACAGATTCCTAGGGGTCTGGAAGACTGGGTGATGGGGACCTGGGGACAATTGGAGACAGATGGCTGTGGGGTAGGGCTGTGAGGGGTGAGTGCAGTGAACTGCTCGCTGCTCCACTTCCGCATGGCCTGGAACTCCCCCTCTCCACCCACTCCCCAGTTTCATTCCTTCAGAGGCTTCCTGCCTTGCCCTCTGGAGGAAAGAGGGTGTGATGTGGGCTGATGATGGAGGCCAGTATGTTAGGGGAGTATGACCCTGTGATCCTAATAGATCGCAGGGTAATTTAGGAACATGCATTGAGTCCAGGGTAGTGAGGACTGGGGAGAGCTTGGGGGACAGCTCCCCGCTTTCTTGGCAGAGCCCCAGACTGAAGTAACCTTAAAAAAGCAATTAAATCACCTTAAAAAAAAAAAACCCCGGTAAAAAAAAATCAAACCTAGGGGAAAGGGGGAGAGGCTGGGGGAGGAGGAGGTGGGGTGGAAGCACTAGAAGGGTCTGGGAGGCTAGTGGAGAGGGCAGAGCATGGCAGGGGGCACGGTCTGTGGTCACTCAGAGGTTCTGACTGCTAACTCAGCAGCTGCTTCCTGTGCCTTCCCCACTTTCCCCTCTGGGATGCTGCCAGAAGTAGCCCTGACCCCAGGAGTCTCCTCTTCCTGGCTGGGGGAGCCGACTTGGGGGAAGCCTAGCCGTAGCACCCCCGACCCCCGCAAGCTACTTTGAGGAGAGGCTGGGGACCACCCCAGCAGGGTGCCAAGCATGGCCGGGGCTCGGGGTTGGTGGGCTCCATGCTGGGGTGACCAGTGACTGATGAGGCCTGACCTGGCCTCGTAGCCAGAGTGAGCACTGAGTCCCTGCTCCCCAGGGTAGCCACCCCTCCTCAGGGTCCAGGCGGGGGCTGCGACTGGCAGGGCAGGCCTGACGCAGGGGAGGGGTGGCCTCTGGGCAACGGGTGGACCTGGGGCTCTAATCCCCAGCAGCTGCCGTTTCCCTCAGATCGATTCCCTTCTCACTTTTTTTTCAGCTGCTGGTTCCGCGGCTCGGATCGATGGAGCCGCCTCCCCCGCCCCTCTGAGCTTCCTCTCCCTGCTGCTCATTAGCGCCCCGATTAATCAGCGCCCCCCTTTCGTCTAGGGACAAGGGCTTCCTCCCCCCGTGAGGGCGCATGTTCTCACATGGGCCCCCCAGAACACCAGCGGCTCACTGTGACCACCCCACCCCAGGAGCACCAAGGCATTTCCTCCTGGGCTGCCAACAGGGGCCCCACCCCTGCCTGTGATAACAACCCACATGCCTGCTTCCCCTCCGCAAACCCACAGCCACGCCAGGGCTCTCTCCACCCTACCGTGCCCGTCACCCTCCGCTTCTGCTTCTGGGATAGGACTCCCTCCTGGTCAAGCCCACACATTTCTCCTCCCTCCCAAATCCCCGTCTGGGCTCTTCCTCTCTCTCCATTCCACCCTCTCCTCCACCCATCAGAACTCTTCTCTGCTCCCTGGCCTGTTCACCCCCTCTCCCCCCACCCCCAGCCCAGCCTGGCAAGAGATTTGGGATGTTTGGATTAGCCCAGTGGCCACAGATATGCAAGTCAGCCAGGGCGTTCCTCTGCCCCAGACCCACGAGTGACTGAGTTTGGGGGGATGGTAGGGGGCGGCCAGAGCCCCGGGGCAGGCAGGGTTATGGTGGGTGTTGAAGTTGGGAGCAAGGCTCTAAGGAAGCCAAGAATCTTGGTGGAGTCTGTTGCCCCCTTTTCTGTCTTGCCTGCCTCCTCTGCCCTCCCCTCCCTCATTCAAACAAGTGGCTCTCCCAAGGAGTTTCTGGAAGCTGCTCTGAGTGGGGTAGTGGGGGCAGGTGGTGGCTGGGCGCGGGAGTCAGGAGTCATCCTCCGTTTCCTGGATGGAGTTGGCTGACCCTTCCTGGGGGCGTGGTCCCGAAAAGTGGCAGAATGAGCCAGGACTCTGGGTGCAGATGTCTCCCCTGGGTGGCCTGGCAGTGGGGCCGTCTGGAGACCCCACGAGTGCCTAGGCTGTAGCGAGAGTTTGGGGGACAGCCCAATGAGATCTAGGGCAGGGGCTGGCGATCCTTGTCCTGGGCCAGTGGTGGGGGCTGCCCCCCCGCCCCTGGCCTGGCTCCTGCAGCCAGTGGCGCCGGTGAAACGCTGTTGACATGTCCTGAATTATTAAGCATGGGGTGGGCTCCGGAGCACATGCTGAGCGGAGCGGCTGGGGCTGCGCGGCGTGGCGGAGCAGCGCTCACTCCCTCGCTCGCTCGCTCGCTCGCTCGCTCGCAGGGACACACGCAGGGGCTGACAGCTGTGCTGGTGCTGATAAGGGAAGCCACAAGGAGACGATCGAGGAGAGAGAAAAGCAGCGGCAGAGGCAGCAGCAGCATAGGCAGCACCAGGGCTGCGGAGCTGCTGGGAGTGGGAGTGACTCCCCCACCTCAGGCCCCCACCCTGTCCCCGTCCTCCTCCCGCTTGCCCTGAGTTTAGAAGAGCAGCCGCTGCCACCACCGCCACTCCGGAGGGCACCGTGGGCTGCCAACCAGGGAGGGACAGGGGCAGGGAGGCTCCGGCCAGTCCCAGCAGCCGGGGACAGATGCCGATCGAGATTGTGTGCAAAATCAAATTCGCAGAGGAGGATGCGAAACCCAAGGAGAAGGAGGCAGGGGATGAGCAAAGCCTCCTGGGGGCAGCACAGGGGGCAGCAGCCCCCCGGGACCTGGCCACCTTTGCCAGCACCAGCACTCTGCACGGGCTGGGCCGGGCCTGTGGCCCAGGCCCCCACGGACTGCGCAGAAGCCTGTGGGCACTGGCCCTACTCACCTCACTGGCCGCTTTCCTGTACCAGGCTGCCGGCCTGGCGCGGGGCTACCTGACCCGGCCTCACCTGGTGGCCATGGATCCTGCCGCGCCAGCCCCAACAGCGGGCTTCCCGGCCGTCACCCTCTGTAACATCAACCGCTTCCGGCACTCGGCCCTCAGCGACGCCGACATCTTCCACCTGGCCAACCTAACAGGGCTGCCCCCCAAGGACCGGGATGGGCACCGTGCCGCCGGCCTGCGCTACCCGGAGCCCGACATGGTAGACATCCTCAACCGCACCGGCCACCAGCTCGCAGACATGCTCAAGAGCTGTAACTTCAGTGGGCATCACTGTTCCGCCAGCAACTTCTCCGTGGTAAGTCCTGCTGGCGGGCCGCCTGGCCTGGGGTGGCCAGAGGCTAGCAGGGAGCGGGGGTGGGGGGCAGGGAGGGCCCTGGGGTATCCTCACTGGGGCTTCCCTTCCTTCCACCACCAGCGGCTGGCCTTGTGTCTTCCCCAAGCCTGGTGTTTCCCTCTGGCTTCCTGGGCCACGAAGCGGGGGACGCTCCTATGGGCTTACCCGGGTGCTGCTGCCACTCCTCTCCTCCACTCTGCTGCTGCTGTAGTGCCCAGGTCTGGGGGCCGGGGGGGGGGGCGGGGTGGTGCCTGGAGTGGGCCCAGGAGCCCGGAAGCCAGGCAGCTTGCGGGTGAGGGATGCCCTGTGCCGAGGCTGGAGCAACTGACCCCCACTTGTCTGTTGTTCCCTTTTGCTTCTGTGGCTACTGGATTCTTCTCCCCACTGGACAAGGGTGATGGGTAGAGGGTGTCTGGGGGGCTCCAGCAAGAGAGGGACTCAGGACTGCCTCCTGGGGAGCTGGCCCGACCGGCAGGCTGGAAGCAAAGATCTTGATCTTCCCGTACACTGGGTACCAGTGTCTCTTCTCGGTCTCTGTGTCTCTCATACACACCCCCTTTCACAGACTCTCTCACACATCCCTCTTTCATGCTGCCCCTCCAGCTTCTCCCGCTTTCCCTCCCTCCGTTTCCTGGGTCTTGCTGTTCCCTTGCCCGGCTCTGGCTCTTACACTGAGAATCACTCATTCACTCTTGTGTGCCTGGTTCACCCTCGCTGCGACCCAGCACACGCGCGCGCGCACGCTCGTGCGCGCACACACACACACACACACACACACAGAGCCCTGCTGCTGGGGACAGTTTCCTTCACTGCCTGTCTTGTGCTCAGGGTCCCTGTCACGACACTCACGTGCACACCTGCACACCCACACACCAAGAGCTCATCTCTTTGCCCGCATCTCAGTGCTCACTTAGCTGAGGACGGGGCCACACAGTGGATGCCATCCCCCCTCCAGATGCTCCCCCCACCCCTCATCTATCTCAATCCCTGTTCCCCGTGTGGGGACTGCTGGTGCCATCTCACATGGATGTGAACACAGACACACACTCTCACTGGCATTGAAGTGTCCGCTCAGGCTGCCCTCTCATAGTCAGCTGTGAGCATTGGGGGTGTGTCTCGCGTGCTGTCTGTGTGTCTGTCCACTAGTGCTCCATTCGCCCAGGATCACGGGGTATCCCTCATCCCTGGCGCTTGTGCTGCCTGTCCCCAGTCCCCAGTCGGCTTCCAGCATTGTGTACATATACGTGGCAGCAACATGGTACCCACTCCAGCCAGCCTCTAGTGGCCCGCCCCACAGATGGGAGCCAGAGTGGGGGGCTCACCTTCCTCCTGCCCAGCGGCCCCCTGCCCAGGTTCCCATTCACTCACCACCTCAGCATCAGCCGGAAACATGCCCCTAATAGGCCTCCTAAGGCTCCTTGCACCGCAACCCATTCCTCAGCCTCTGGGTGATCCTGCCATGGGATGTGGGGGAGTTGGGTAGAAATGGAAGAAGGGACAGGAAGGAGGGACACTGCTGGGTCGGGGGGGGTGCTGGGCTTTTGTGCCGATACACACCCCTCTTCTAGGGAAAAAAAAAATCACTACTCCTAAGCCCAGGACTGCAGGAGTCCCCAAGGAGGAGGTGAGGTGTTGAGAGTGTGCATGTGGCCTTTGGGGTCCCTGGGACCCTTCTGTCTGACATCCTCACCCCTCAGAGTTGGGGGGGGCAGGCAGAGCCCAGTCTCAGCAGGTGCTGTGGGGGCAGAAATCAATGGGAGCTTTGTGTCCCTAAGCAGGAGGTTGCATCTCAGGCCCCGGTTGGGGATAGAAAGGAAAGGGGAAGTGTGTCGAAACCTTAGTGGGAAGGAGGGGAGAAGAGAGGAGGGAGAGATGGGGAAGAGGGAAGTGAGGTGAGGGAAGCAGGGGCTTCCTGTCCTGCTCTAGGAAAGGGAGAGGTGCCTGGAGGTTATGGGAACAGGGAGTCTCTGGGAATCCAGAGGTGGGCGGATGAGAAGGATGGACATCCTGCAGGCCTTTTCATATGCTGGGCTGCAGAAAGGAGGGTGAGGAGGGTGGGAGAAGTTTGTGGGTCTCAGCTCTGGGGTTGTGGCATATCCTAGAGGAGCAGAGGGCCAAAGCAAGCACTGGGGGACAGGAATTCCCCTTTTGATCCTGCTTTCTGTGTCCCCCACCCAGTCTAGACTCCATACCCTTCTGCCCACACCCCATCCCCCATTTGCTGAATGTAACTCTCCCTTGGACCTGGCCTTCTGGAGTTGAGTCTGCTGCAAATACAATGGGGTCTGGGATTATTGGCTGGGATGGCCAGCCATGACTCATGGCCACGGGCGAGATGGGGGTGTATTGTGGGGCAAGATGGGAGAAGAGGTAAGAGAGGAAGACATAGGATCTCTACAGAGGACAGGAGATCCACAACGGACCCTGTGGTGAGAACACGGAGCTCATGCTAGGGATCAATGGCAGGGAGATGGGTATGGGGACCAGGTGTCGAGGATCCTGCCCAGAGCACGGGTAGCGAGACGGTCAGTGACAGTGACAGGCTTTGGGTAAGGGGCTGCCACGTGTTTTCTGTTGCTTTCCCTGTTTCCTCCTTCCCACTCCCCACTCTGCTGTGACCTTTCCTCCAGAATCCAAGTTAATAAATGTCACATTTTCCAGCCTATTTTTACTCCGGGTAACGTGCCCTCCCCCAGTCCCCTAAGCTACTGCTCCCGGCTTCTCTTACCACTGCAATTGCTTTCACCCCCACACTCCCTGGTACCCCCTCACTGACTCCCAGTCACTCACCCAGTCAACATGGAGCACTGCGTGCCCACTCCGTGCCTGCTAGGTGGTGTGTGGGGGGAGAGCAAAGAAGGGAAGCCCTGGCCCCAGTCCCTGTCCTCAAGCAGCCTATACTCTCCAGATGGAGCAGAGACAGGGATGCTCAGAAGCTTAACCAACCATGCAAGAGTTAACCAGCCATGCAGGTGTCATGAGGTGCCAGGATTAATTGCCAAAAGAGGGACAGGAAGAGTTAGAGCTTGAGTTCAGAGAGGAGGGGGGTGGGGCACTCTGGGCTGAAGAGGACTAGAAAGGTTCAAGGCATGAGGCAGGTCTGGGAGGTCTGGAGAGAAGGGGAGAGAGAGGGGAGAAGCTCTAGGCTTCACCCATGCTCCCCTCCACCTAGTTCACCCGGTCCCTTCTCCTCCTCCCCTCCCCCTCCTTACTCAGTCTCATCCCCACCCACCCACGCCCACCTAGCCTCCTGCTCTCACCACCTATATGTTCTCTCCCGTCCTCCCAATTCCCACCACCATCTGCCCCCCCCCCACCCCACTGCTCCAAGCCCCATCCATACTTTCCCCATTGCGGCTTGCTTACTAGAAGGCAGAAATCACTCTTTCTCCCTAGGCTTCATTTCTTTGGCTGAAAAATGCAAGGGTGGCTCTAAAATTCAGCATCGCCTCTCAGCCGGGGAGTGTATGGTGAGGCAGTCAAGTGTGTGGTTTCCCAAGCCAGACTGGCCAGATTTGAACTTTGGCTTTCCCCTTAAAGCAGTGTGGCCTTGGAGAACTCAAAAAGCCTCCATGAGCTACAGTTTCTATATTCAATAAATACAATAGTAAGACCTAAAAAATTTGAACCCCCCCCTACACTCTTGCAGCCTTGCCAGCATTGCCCTGTGACCCAGCCCTCCCAAATATTCCTGCATGTGCATACGTGTGTGCACACACACTCTCCAGATCAGTGCTCTCCCACTGGACATCTCGGGCATGGTGGAAGGGGTCCATATCTGCACTGTCCAGCAGGGTAGTCACGGGCCACACTGGCTGCGGGGCATCTGACAGGGGATCAGTGTGACAGGGAAAAGGAATGGTCAGTTCAAACAGTCACATGTGGCTAGGGGCAACCGTATGGGACAGTGTAGTTCTCCATGGTCCAAGGAATGAGGCTTAGACTACCTCAATGGGCAGGGCTAGGACTTCCAGCTGGGGTCCAAGGATGGGAGGTGGTGGCTGTGGGCTCTGGTTGGAAGTGCAGCCATCTCCGATCTGGGCTGAGGTTAGGGTCTGTGTCTGGGGACATCGGGGTGTCTGGAAACACCACATGAGCAGACAGACCTTTCTTCCTAGGTGTGGGACATGACCTTGGTCTTTTCTCTTCCATTCTAGTGTCTGGAAAATGGAAGCATGGGGGACATGGAGAATCCTTGAGGAGGCAGAGGTAGAATCCGGCCCCTCTCTGCAGGGTCGTCAGGGGTCCAGGCAGTCCCTAGGTGGGCAGATGACCAGGGACCCGTGGGCCTCCATCCCCTCTTGGCTCCCAGACTTCCCTCCCCCTCCCAGCCCTCCCTCCCCACTAGCTGGTGACTGCCGTGACTATTAATCACTCGCCCTGTTCTCTTCCTCTCTACTAATCAGGCACAATTAGAGAAGGCCTCTTCCAGCTGGGCAGTCCCCCTCCCTGCCCTCCTCCCTTCGCTCCCAGCCCCACCCAGCTGCCAGCCAGGACAGCTCTGAGGCAGAGGGAGAAGCAAGCACGGAGGCCCTCTAGCACTCCCTGCCCGCCCCCAGATCCTCGGCAGTCCCCTGCCGCCCATCCCAGCTGCCTCCTGAGCCTGTCCCCGTCCCGGCGTGGTCAGACCAGTACTGATCATCTCTGTCCTGCCTCTTTGGTTGTGGGAGGGCTACCCCCAAGAACATGCCAACTCCAAACCTTTGTTCCTGGCTCCAGAGGGGCTGAGGGCTGCCCCTCATCCCCTTGACTCAAGAAGGGATGGGCTTCCCCTCGGGGTTGGTCCGGGCAGGCAAGCTGACCTCTTCTTATCCTCACCCTCCGTCCAGCCCTCTGTCCCCTCAGGCCCCGTACCCTCCTGAGGCATGAATGTTGAGAACATTTAGTTCAACATCTAGTTCAGGGTTGGTCCTGCCTTCGGGGAGCCAGGCAGGTCAGGTCGTGGAGGGCACACAGCAGGG